CTCCCAGAAATGGCCCCACAGCATGTAGAAATATAAAGATAAGCACGAGGTCTGTGCTGTAGTTTTGAGGCATTTCAGTATTTTATGAATTTGTTACTTTGCTTTCATACAAACGAAATAATAACTTTAGGTTTGGAGGAAATGCTCGCTTTCAAAATGGAGAAGCAAACATGAAGAGGATGAAATGGAAATCACAACATCTCTGTGACAGCGGAGCAAAGTCCATATATAAGTCCAGATATAATAAATAAACAGTAAATAAACGGTACCCTCACCTTCTTTTGACTCCGCCTGCAGCTTCAGGATGTCCTCGGCGCTCCCGTACTTCATGACTGAGTTGATGGATGACAGTGTGCTGACCAGCTGACTGTTGATGACCCCAAACTGGGACTGGGGCTGGCCGAATGCCTCCGCCAGCTCGGTATAGTTCTCGGCCAGCAGCATTTGCTGCTCCTGCAGCAGCTTCTGCACGCGCTCGATGTAATGGTCCAAGCTGACGCCACCGTGCGCCTGCAGGGCGGCCGGATCAGCGTGCACAGTGGCCGGCGCAGGCTTCACCTCTGCCGTCTCCTGGCTGCCGGTGCTCGCCACAGACTCAGCCGGCTGGGAGGGGCCACACGCTATGTTTCTGGTTTTTAAACCAACCAGGAAATTCTCATGGACGCTCACTGGCCCCACCCCACATTCTTTGGTTTTAGTTGAGCTCAATTTGCCGGGCAAGAGCTCCACGTCCGAGGTGGTTCCAACGGCGATCGAACGCATCTTTGCCGTTGAGTGAACGTCTTTGACGAGTCCTTCTCCGGCAGCGACGGTCCGGGTTTCTGTGACCACCGTGTTGGTTTGCTTATCTGATGTAACCGACTCCATGTGAGTGAATGAGTCTGAGAGGACAGCGTGCTTCGTGTTCGTGGACTTGTGTGCAACTTCTGCCTCAGTGCTGGTCTCCTGAGTCAGGAACTCAGGAGCCGCCGTGACTCCAGAGTCCACTTGACTGACACGGTCAGTCTCAGTTCCTTGTGACACCAGCGTCTTGATGGGACTAACGAGCACATCCACCGAACAGTCTCCACAGCCCACGGATCTCTGCTCTTTGCTGGCTTCCATCGCGGGTTCACCGAGGGTCAAGCTGTCCACCAGCTCCTCCGTGTTCACTCCCACCTCACAAACGCTGAGCTCTACGCCTACCTGCCGATGGCACGTCTCCACGTGCCGTCCTACACACTGGTCAGACACCTCCATCTGTTCGTGCACCACCCACCGGTCCATGGGGATATCCGGTCCTGTGGCGACGCTGTGCACAGAAGGCTGACAGGACACTCCTCTAGTCAGAGTCTGTGGACTTTTAGCAGTGCTAACATGGCTGAATTCCAGATGTTCGCCCACTCCCTGGCTGCGTGTCTGGACTTTCGCCTCCACACAGGCGCTGTACATCTCCGGCCTGACCATCAAACCTTTGTCTGCTTTTTTCTTGTTTGACCCGCCGGCAGCTTGGAGCTCCAGTTTCAGCTTGCCCATCTCCATCTGATGAGTGGTTTCTTTGAGCTGCACCTCCAGGCGGTAGATCTTCTCCTTCAGGGAGTCGATGGTCTGCTGCTGGAGCTCGATCTCTTTCTCAGCTTCGCTGCTCATGCCCAGCATGGCCTCGGTGACGCCAACTGCAGTGCTCCGGATTTCCAGCCGCTCTGTAGACACCCCCGCGTCCCGAAAACAGCGTTCCTTCTCTGGCTTTCTTTGGGTGGCTGGAAGATTATTCATATTTTGATCAGTAACTATGCCAACAGACTTTTGGTGGGCCTGGTTCTG